AGGTGTTAGCCACCTATTTTTTTTTTTTTAAACAGTTTCACTGTCACCCCGGATAGAGTGCCATGGTGTTATCGTAGCTCACAGAAACATCAACCGCTTGGGCTTGAGCCATCTTCTTGCCTCAGTCTCCCAAGTAGCTGGGACTACAGGTACCTGCCACAATGGCAGGCTAGTTTTTCTATTTTAGTAGAGACAGTGTCTCATTTTTTTTTTTTTTGGAGACAGAACCTCAAGCTGTTGCCCTGGGTAGAGTGCCACAGCAACCTCCAACTCCTGGGCTTAAGTGATTCTCTTGCCTCAGCCTCCCAAGCAGCTGGGACTACAGGCACTGGCCACAACACCTGGCTATTTTTTGGCTGTAGTTGTCATTGTTGTTTGGCAGGCCCAAGCTGGATTCGAACCCACCAGCTCTGGTGTATGTGGCTGGTGCTTTAGCTGCTTGAGCTATAGGCACTGAGCCGGGGTCTCATTCTTGCTCAGGCTGGTCTTAAACTCCTGAGCTCAAGCAATCCACTCACTGTAGCCTCCCAGAGTGGTAGGATTCTAGATCCACTCACTGCAGCCTCCCAGAGTGGTAGAATTCTAGGCATGAGCTACTGCAACTGGCCTATTTTTTTTTTTTTTTTGAGACAGAGTCTCATTCTGTGACCCTTGGTAGAGTGCTGTGCTGTCACAGCTCACAGCAACCTCCAACTCTTGGGCTTAAGTGATTCTGTTGCCTCAGCCTCCCAAGTAGCTGGGACTATAGGTGCCCACCACAACGCCTACACCTGGCTATTTTTTGTTGCAATTGTCATTGTTGTTTAGCTGGCCTGGGCCAGGTTTGAACCTGCCACCTTCGGTGTATGTGGCTGGCACTGTAACCACTGTGCTACAGGTGCTGAGCCCATGGTGAATTTCTATTCTTTCCCAAGGGAATCAATTTGTATTTGTTACAAATGTAATTGTACTAGTACAAAAATCCTATAAAAAAACCAATTTAGCTGAGAACAGTGCTTCTCAAAGTGTGATCCCTGAACCAACAACATCATCATTACTTGGGAACTTATTTTATTTGAGACACAGTCTCATTCTGTCCACCCACGGTAGAGTGCTGTAGCATCATAGCTCACAGCAACCTCAAACTCTTGGGTTCAAGCAATTCTCTTGCCTTAGCCTCCGAAGTAGTAGGGACTACAGGCACCCACTGCAACACCTGGCTATTTTTTAGAGATGAGGTCTTGCTCTGGCTCAGTCTGGTCTCAAACCCCTGAGCTCAGGCAATCTACCCGGTCTTGGCCTCCCACAGTGCTAGGATTACGGACATGAGCCACCTCGTCCCACCTCCTTAAGTTTTTCTATCTCACTTTGTGAGTGCGTATTTGAGTCTCCTTACATTTTTATCTTCTTTGTGGTTCTATCAAGTCCTTTTTTTGGTATATTTCCCAGTGTCTTTCCTTCACTTTCATCTCAGCTGGTTATGTATAATAAAACTAAAAAATATTTGTTTTTTGTATTTAGTGAACAGTATTTTATTTATTCTTAATATCCAAATAAATGAAGCATTCCTTTTTTGTGACTGTCAATGAATAATTTTATGCAACTCAGAGGTTTGTCACATAGAAACATTCCTGCTCTTAATGAATACAAATGTCAGGTTTACCAACCTTAGATTTCTACTAGGTGGGAAGGAGGATTTTCCCATAAAACTCCAATCAGAAGAGATAAATCTCAACAAGAGCTCCCTTCAAGGAAATTTTCAACATCTTATAAGAACAGTCCTCCCCTTTACTTTTTCTTCTTTATTCTATCCAAAGAGAGTACTTACCTAGTGGTAGAGCTCGGGTCAGGTTAGTAGCTGGAGGATCTGTTTCTGGAGGACAGAGCTCACAGAAGTCCCAACATGATGGGCAGAGGAGGTTTCCATCGTGAATCCAGCCATTCATCTGAATACTGACAGGGAGGACTTGCCCAGCCCGACTACACAAATATGAAGTATCCTGGACCCAAACCTTCAGACCTTGAGGTGAACAAGAAACCTTCAAACAGAAACAAACAAACGAACAAAATCAGGAAAGATTCTAGTTGAGATTTATCCTTCAACAATAGGAAAATACGTTAAAATTTACTAAACTACTGGCTGTAAAACACAATTTGGGATCTGGGTATATCTTTAACTTCATATAAAAGGGATTAAGTTATTTAGGGTCTAAAACAATTTTACTCAGTGGCAGTTAAGTTTTGAGTGTAGCACCTTTTTTAGAGTCTGAGGGAAGCTACAGACACTTTTCCTGAAAAAGTACAAATAAAGCACACACAGAGCTTTAAAAACAATCTGATTCACAGGCCCATGAAGCAAAGTTATAGAGAATAAGATTTCTGAATATTTCAGTATTCTCACTTTTAGCTGGGTGCGATGTCTCATGACTGTAATCTTAGGACTCTGGGAGGCTGAGGTGGGTGGATTGCTTAAGCTCAGGAGTCAGAGACCAGCCTGAGCAAGAGTAAGACCCTGTCTCACACACACACAAAAATAAACAAAAACAAAAAACAAAAAACAAAAAAATATATATGTATATAAACTATCCAGGCATTGTGGCAAATATCTGTAGCCCCAGCTACTTAGGATGCTGAGGCAAGAAAATCGCTTGAGCCCAAGAGTTTAGAGGCTGCTGTGAGCCACGGCACTCTATTCAAGGTGAGGAAGTGAGACTCTGTCAAAAAAAAGAAGGAAAGAAAGAGAGAGAGAGAAAGAGAAAAGAAAGAACACTTAGATCCTAAAAGTGTATACAGGATTTGGATCATAGAAAGGTAGATGTGACAGGTTGGGAAATAGAATACACATGGCTTAGAGATGAGAATTATATAAAAGTGTTGCTAGGACAAGAGGAAAACTCCTTGATGAAGTTTAATTATTCCCGTTGTAGAATTCTGGGAATTAAGTGTGGGCAGGTAAGGGAAATGTGTAAGTAGTAGCTGATGTAACAGACTCAAGAAAGCTGAATCAAGGGTGGCGCCTGTGCTCAGTGGTTATGGCACTGGCCATATGCACTAAGGCTGGCGAGTTTGTACCCAGCCCTGGACAGCTAAACAACAATGACTACTGCAACAAAAAAATAGCCGGGTATTGTGGCAAGTGCCTATAGTCCCAGCTACTTGGGAAGCTGAGGCAAGAGAATTGCTTAAGCCCAAAAGTTTGAGGTTGCTGTGAACTGTGACGCCACAGCACCCTGCTGAGAGTGACATAGTGAGACTCTGTCTTGGGGTGGGGGACGGAATAAAGCTAAATCAAAATTCAGCAGCAGGGGCAGTGCCTGTAGCTCAGTGCGTAGGCCACCAGCCACATACACCCAGGTTGGCAGGTTCAAACCTGGCCTAGGTCTGCTAAAACAACAATGACAACTGCAACAACAACAAAAAACAGCTGGGCATTGTGGCGGGTACATGTAGTACCAGCTACTGGGGAGGCTGAGGCAGGAGAATTGCTTAAGCCCAGGAGTCTGAGGTTGCTGTGAGCTGTTATGCCATAGCACTCTACCAAGAGTTACAAGTGAGACCTTGTCTCAAAAAACAAAAAACAAAAAAAAAAAAAAAGAAAAAGAAAGGGCTCTACAAATGAACGTAGATGTAATGCAGATGTACTATGAAAGTGTATTACTAAAAATGTAGTGTGTATGCACACACATGAACATGTGTATCTAATAGCTACCAATCTTCTGTATATATCATGTATACTCGGGAGGCTGGGGCAAGAGAATCTCTTGAGCCCAAGAGTTTGAGGTTGCTGTGAGCTATGACATCATTGCACTTGACCACGGGTAACAAAGTGAGACTTTCTCTCTCTCTCTCTCTCAAAAAAAATTATCTTCCTTTAGCCTCCCTTTATACTTTATTTACTTTCCCATAATTATTATCCTTTCTTAAACCTTACTACAAAAGCATATAGGTTTCATAATACCATTTCTTTGGGTCTTCATTTACTTCTGAGGGCTCTGGTATGACATAAAACTTACATGAAATTCATTCACATGTTGTTCTCCTGTTAATCTGGTTTATGCCACTTTAATTCTCAGGCCGAGCTAAAGACCCCCAGAGAGAGTATGTAGAGTTTTGCCTTCTGTACACTATCATCAGGTCTAACGGTAGAATAGTGAATGATGCTTTCAGACGCTTAAGGTCTCAACAGTTTTCTCTTATATACTTCTTCTCAAAAATAAACCAGATGAGGGGTTACTGAAGGCTCTGGAGTCCTTGCCTCAGTCCCACCTGCTGCTCCTAAATGAGCCCCCTGACTCTGCTGCCATGAAGGTGAAGATTAAGTGCTAAAATGGCAGTGTTCAGTACAAAATCAGCAAAATTACCTGGTAACACCTGGTATAGGAAAACCAAGTAAACTCAATCTTTAGAGGCTATTTAAATTTGTATAATCCCTTCATTGTAATAGGTAGGACTGATGAAACATTAAAATAGGTTGAAAAGGTCACACTCTTATTTGTAGTTGTCACTATTCTAGTTTCATCCCCTTTAACCTGATATTCCCACTTATAAGAATTTATTTCCAAAATTAAACTGAAAAAATAAAATATATAAACATAAAAGCATTTTTATAGAGTAAAAGGGGAAAATAAAATCAATATATAATAGGTAAGTCACTTTCCCAATTCTAATACTTTAAAATGATGCAATGTTTCTTTGACGTTACTAAGTATCTGTATTATTATTTTAGAAAAACTTGGAAAAAGGATTGCATCCACTAAGTGAGATCAGTAAAACAAAATTATGTAGTATGATTACAATTGGATCAATAATATGTATTTAGTCAATACATACATCTTTTTTAAAATACATTCTCTTTTTTTTTTTTTTTTGAGACAGTCTCTCACTATGTTGCTGTTAGTAGAGTACTGTGGCCTCACAGCTCACAGCAACCTAACTCTTGGGCTTAAGTGATTCTCTTGCCTTAGCTCTCAAGTAGCTGGGAGTATAGGCACCTGCCACAACATCTGCCTATTTTTGTGGCAGTTGTCATTGTTGTGTACCTGGCCCGGGCTGGGTTTGAATCTGCCAACCTTGGTGTATGTGGCTAGCACAGTAACCACTGTGCAAAGGGCGCCGAGCCTAATACATACTTTTTTTTTTTTTTTTT